CCGGCGGAGGACTCTCATTTCGAGCCTCAAAGATGAAGAGAGCCGATTTGTGGCTTTGATAGCTCATTCTATAAATTTTTTGTGAAAATTATATTTTGGGCATGTAATCGTATGAAATTATCTATAATAGAACTTGTATATAATAGATTTTATGTGAAAAACCTTATTAAGCATATTTTGGATGGTAGTGGAATAGGTTGAAATGGATTGGAAATAAAAAACAGGTGAAATAGGCAAAAGTCAGCAAAGCATACCGGTATGGCGTACCAGTACGACAAGGTCCAGTGGGTTACCCGTACCAGTATGGATTCTTCCAGTGGGTTACCTATACCGGTATGACTTTTTCCAGTGGGCAATCTTTGTACCGGTACAGCCTACCGGCACACTTTCCAAAAATTTGAAAATTGCTTTGTGAAACTTTTGGGCTATGGGTTCTTTGATTCCAAGGATATAAATAGACATAAAATAAGTATGAAATGTGGTACTTTGGACCACGGTTGGATCAAATGATAAAATGTACACAGGTTTCACGTGTGGGTTATAATTCCGGTTAAGGGAATGTTATTGATGTGTCGCCCAGTTGTTCGACAATCATGGATATTTCCGCGGGTTGACAGATGGTCAACGGTTAACAAATGACCCCCGGTTTTTAGCAGCGTCACATATTGGATGATCATTACTTTCCTAAGTGGTCACTCTAGTTTCAACACTTTTTGGGGTGTATTGGGAAGCTTGGTTTGCTGACCGAACCGCACCCGAAGCCAGTTGATGACAACCTTAGATATTCTACGTGGTTAGATGGTTATTTGGATTTATGGAGTCATCTGTTTGCAAAATTCATCAGTTTCATAGCACTGTTCCGAAGCTATGAAGCGCATTATTAGAGATATATTCACAGTTAGGTCGTATAGTTCATGTTTATGAGCTTTCTTAGGAGCTCTCGTATGCTTGACAGGGATAAAACCCGACGGAGCGACATTTCTACGTACTCGATAGCAGGAAGACAGAATTCACAAGTTCTTTATAAGGCTTCATGGTGAGTTTGAAGGACCTCATTCCCAAATGCTGTCGATGTTGAAGGTTCTTTCTCTTTATAAGGTTTATTCTATAATTGAGCAACATAAGTGTCGAGTCCGTATTGCATCACTTCCCGTTGCAACCTTGACTCCCAAGGCTGACCAATGGCCCTTTTAGTTGCTGCAAGATCTCACTTAGGATCCCCTGCCAGGGATGGACAACATCTAGACCAACGCTAGCAAGACGCTCCAGAGCAGCGCAAATACTACAATTCTCGCCAGTGTGATTATTGTGGCCTACAGGACATCTTAGGGTTGCTTGCTGGATGCTCCATCCCAAGCTTAAGTCGTTTTATGTTACTTCTCGAGGTCGTACTACCGCTATTATTGAGGGACCAACACCTACTGGTGTTGTCCCTATTACTGCTGCTCCTCCTTGGTAGAGCGATATGGATGTTATCACTTCCGGATTGGATATGCTTATGTCTACTATGACTTCTTAGAGTCCTACTACTACTACTACGACTACTACTGGTGTACTTTGTACCTTCCATGCTCGCACCTGTCCTTCTCCTTTTCAGATGCTAAACTTGAGTGCAAATGGTCACATGATAGGTGCAACTCATTACTTCAATACTTTCGATGAGTAGTTACATACATATTCAGTTAGCTGATGGGTCACATTCCCCTATTATTAGTAGGGGTATAGTTCGCCTTCCAAATATCCCTACATTACATTCTATTTTTCATGCTCAAAAGCTGGTCATGAATCTATTATCTGTACATCAGTTAACCATAGATTTTTGTTGTGTCGTAGTGTGCTTATCTAACTCTTGTTATTTACAGGACTTGAGTATCAGGAGGATTATTATCAAGGGACATGAGAGAGATGAGTTGTACTATCTAGGCGATCCACCTCTAGTTCCTCCACTGCCTACACCTATTTTATCTTTATTTATTCTTAACTTACAAGCTAGTATTTTACCTAGTACTTGTCGTTGTAATTTTTCTTTTCAAACTGTTCAGTTGTGGTATAACTATTTTGGGCATATAAATTTTAAATATTTATGTATGTTATTTCCTTCTTTGAGTAATGCTTGTGCTAGTGGTAGACTTGATTGTATTGTATGTTCACTATCTAAAAATGTTCAAACTAGTTATAATCCTCACATACACTAGTCTCCTAGGCCATTTGACCTAATATACTATGATATTTGGAGATCCTCACCTGTTACTGCTCTGTCAGGTGCTCGATATTATGTGACCTTTATAAATGACCATACCCCGTGTACTTATGTATACCTTTTACATAGGAAATTAGATATACTCCCTGTTATCACTCAGTTTCTCCAGATGATTAAGACACAATTCAATGTCATTGCTCTTCGTTCGAATAATGCCAAAGAATGTGTTTGATGCCTTGATGTCTCACATTTCTTCCCAGATGCTTCAACAGCTCACCTACTCATATACTCCTGATTAAAATGGAGTTGCTGAAAAAAAAAATTGGAGTCTAATAAGGATCGTACGTTGTGAGTTACAGGGGTGCTTAAGTCTTATTGGCATTGTGTAGTTCTAACTTCTACCAGCTTGTGCAATCGCACATCGGCCCGTGTTATTCAGCATAGGACTCCCTTACATGTCTTATTTCCTAATCGGACACTTTTTTAAATCCTTCCTCAAGTCTTTGGTTGTACATGTTTTGTTCATGATCGGTCTCCAACTCTCATAAGCTTGATGATACAACTATTCATTGTGTCTTTGTAGGTTGTTGGCAACAGTCTAAGGATTATCGGTGTTATGATCCAGTTCAACGCCGTATGTATCATAGTCTAGAAGTTACATTTCTTAAGCATTTATCTTATTTTTCTGCTTCTAGTCTTGTGTCTGCATCACTAGTTGACGATACTCCCTTTGATTTTTCCTTATCACCGGAGCGATTAGTCATTGTCCCTACAGAGACGCCAGTTACACACAATATCCCAATCTTTCCTCTTTTTATACATGATATCTCAATCTCTCCTCCTTTACAGGTTTATGTTTGTCGCTGTTGCTCTTATCCCCATGTTGATGTCCCCTTTATTTTAGGCAATATAGGTAATATTTCTCATTAGTTGAAAATATTGTTGAACTTTTTGTTAGCACTGAAGAGACTACAATGATTGAGGTTTTTGAGCCAGTTGATTTATCTGAAGAGACTTTGTCTGTAGAGGATAATGATTCAAGGCGTCGTTATCCACGTCGTTTTGGCCACCAAAACTTTATATTCATAGATAATACATAAAAAGAACTACGGTACAAAATCTGTACCCCACTAAATTTGTTTATAATTATGAACTATAAAAATAGTAAATCAAAATAAACTAATAATATATATAAAAAAAAAGACATTTTATTTTAATTAATAAAAAAATAGAAGAAATTATACATATAACCCTCAAAGTACCTTTGTGTCAATTAAATCCTTAATTTTTTTTTTGTCAATTATGTAGCAAAATTCTCTAATTATGTCAATAGAGTCTTTATGTGTACCTCTGTTAGAATATGTAACTCATTTAACTATATGACACAAAAAGATAAAAGAACACAATTGACATAATTACAGAGTTCGGTACCTCAATTAACACAAAAAAAAAAAATAGTTAAGGGACTTAATTGGCCCAAGAGTTATAATTTGAGGCCTATATATAATTTACTCCAACTATTCGCCAATTTCCGTAGATGGGTTTTTTCAATTCCGTTCGTTGTTTAAAATTTTATTTGTCTCCAACGTGATAAACTTCGTCATTTTTAGTGAATATGCTTTTATTCAGATTGATTTCAATACAAAATTACAACTTAGACGGATTGCAGTCACGGCCGAACTTGGGAAGACCTTATCAAAGTATAGTTTAGACCAAACTTGACCGACTGTAACAACCTGCCGTGATTTAGGGGCGTCAACACTAACCCGACAACACGACTCTAAGACAATAGGATTTTAAAATTGACACTATTAATAAATAAACATAATAAAAAAAATTGATTAATGTTTTACACTTGAAACATAATAAATAATTTTTTTCGTGGGTCTTAATAGAAGCACGACACAAATAATAATATCACGATACAAAAATATCGACATACAAATCACACAACAGCAGGACACAAATTGACACCCCTAGTTTGAAATGTGCTTCACTGATCAGTCTATCAATACTGTAATCACAATGTACTTGCATCTGAGATGAAAGAAATCAGAGAGAATCATTTCTTCCCCAGCAAGCTGCTGCTTCTTCTTCTTCTTCTTACTCTGTTCTTCTCATTTCCTGTTAAATCTGATTTTCTTCACAACCTTTGTTGAGCTACTAATAATATCACACAGAATCGATTTCCATTTTCGTTGAGGAGATATATGGAGAAAGAAAGGCATTTACCGATGGATTTACGAGCTCAATTTTCATACAAAGTCAGTTACACAGAAAAAAAAGTTACTTTGATGCCTCTCAAGTTTTCAGATTTTCTAGAAGCCTCTTATATTTTTCCACTTCAAATGTGTTTTCTGGTGAATTTTTGCTTCCAACAACTGAAAACAGAAAACACAGAGAATTTTCACCAATCAAACAGACTTTAATTAAGCTACTCATAATTACATTGTTGGACCGAGTTGATTTAATGCCTTAATTCTCACATGGGTCTCCAAAAATCACTTCAAATGCTGAAGGGTCCTCAACTTCAGCTGTAGTTGATGCTTTGTACACTAGAAACTGGGGGTCAGCTCCATAAGGATTCTCTTTTGATTGGTCTGGATATATACATATCAACAGATTCAGAAGATCAAAAAATATCTTGCATTATTGAGATTAAAATCAATTGAATCTGCTAATGTGTACAAATTCTGACCATTTAAACGAGAAATGGAGGATTCTCCAATTCTTAGGAAATTAGAGGAGAGCCTAACCCAGAAAGTGGAATCATAGATAAAGCCAAAGCATGGAGGATGCTCTACACAGGAAGATTATCCAAGGGATGCCCATCAAAGCCAAACTCACTTTCAACTAGTCCAGTGCCTTCTTGCTGCTGGTTAGAGAAAAGACTGAATTAGTTAAAGCAGTCATTAAACACCATTTTCAAATTCTAGATGCAACCTTCAAATAGCAAATTGAAGTAGAGATAGATATCCAGGAAAAAAAAACTGACCTGCTTGAGGAGTACACTCATGAGGTCCTCCTGACTAAATTGTTCAGGAAATAGAATATTTTGATAACTCGAATCGGGAAGTCTCTCAGCCTTAACCGAAGGAGAACTGTCAACAAGAAACGTGTTAAGTTGTCGACTAAAGTTTGGGGCATTCCCATGCCCACTTTCTTGCCTTGCCGAAAAGACTGCCTTGCTAACGGCATTCCTGTTTTGCCCAACATTCTGGAAAGAGGAAAAACCTTGTTGAACTAGAACAGCCGGTGAGACATCGAGGCTTCCTCTTATATTGGCATGTTGGGAGGCATCATATGTCAATCCTACATTCTGTGAACCCCAAACATGGGATTTTTGCTGATGCAGTTCATTAAGGATATCATAACTTAGAAGACTTCCCCTTGATCCTTTTGTTTCCGAATTAAACTCCTCTTGGAGCACTCCTTTAGAGCTGAAAGTAGACATCCCTGCATTACTTCCAAGAGGAAAACTACTGCCTGACAAGTCTGTGTCATTGTTCACTGAGAAATCTGGTGTTGAAGAGGCTATGGAGACTGGAATGTATAATGGACCTCTGGCATTGTTGTTTTGTGCCAAAACTCCAATTGCACACCCAGTTGACATAATAGGCTGTCCTGTGGACGACTGAAGCCTTGAAACATGACCGTCACTAGTTTCATTCAGCATTTGTGTCCTTGATAGTAAAGAGTTACTCTGGCTTCCATGGGTATTGACTTGCATATTCATGCCCCCAAAGGATTGAGCAGATTGGTGCAAGCTGACAAGCTGCTTTGGCTCCATATTTGTTGGAANGAGGTTAGCCACTATATGTTGAAACAGCATAAATCTGATTTATTAGGAATACGGGTAAGATAATGTTCTGCTTTACGGAAACAAAATGGAGTATCAAAGCAGGAGTATTAAGCAGAATGGAAGGGGAAAACAATAAGGAAAAGTTGATAAAGATCCATACTATCAATTCCAAGTTGATTAACAGCTGCCACAAACTGTTGATGGAGCTNGTTGAATAATCTTGCGGCCAACTATAGGATCTGATTCAAGTGGTACTGATGCTTAATCCAAGCTTAACTACAAGTTGTTTGTGACTAAGCAAGATGACAGATATAGGATGGTCACAATGCAAAATGTGTAACACCCTCATGTTGCCTCATTATCAATTTCCCTCTGATGGAATTGAGAAAAACTAAGAAAACAAGATTATCCTATGTAGATGCATAAAGAGATAGTACTTACCGAGAGGATAAAAGATAATAGAGAAGGACCATGTATTCAGTCTAAATTTTGATACTTTATATCCTTTGAGAATGTTTAAAGGAAGTAGCCAGGGGCCAAGCAAGTTTGTGGTAATTCTCTAGTCAAAATCAGACACTTGTCCAAAAGGTCTTCTATTTTTTCATACTCCTAAGGGGCCATCTCTTTTTCTCTTCCCCTTATTTCCCTCATCAACAACGTTTGTCGTTTGCCTATCCCATCAATGAGGCCCAAAAAAAAAACAAATGATATAAGACAGCATCTAGAGCTTATATGAAACACACAGAGGTTAGCCACTATATGTTGAAACAGCATAAGTCTGATTTATTAGGAATACGGGTAAGATAATGTTCTGCTTTACGGAAACAAAATGGAGTATCAAAGCAGGAGTATTAAGCGGAATGGAAGGGGAAAACAATAAGGAAAAGTTGATAAAGATCCATACTATCAATTCCAAGTTGATTAACAGCTGCCACAAACTGTTGATGGAGCTCAACTGACCAAACCACCCGTGGCTTCTTCATTGTACACGTGTCATCCCTTTCTTCAGCATCCTCTTCTTCATCCCTTCTTCTCTTGGAGTTTCTCCAATTACTTTCATTTGCAGAAGACGAGTAATCCGCATCTTCAGCCAGTTTCTGTTGTCGTTCTCCATCTTCCACACTTCCCACTTGCTCAGCATCCTTCCATTCATGCCTTTTTTTCCGAACCACATGCTGCCATATGTTCCTTAATGCCTCAATTCGAACTGGTTTGATCAGATAATCACATGCCCCATGAGTAATACCCTTCATCACAACATTTTTACCATCATCGGCCGACATCACTGTGTAATTACACAAGGCAGATCTGAGAGGCTATATCCAATGAAAATGACAACTGTCTCGGTTTTAAATAAAAGGTCAACAAAATCTGAAACAGGGTACTTACTGATAACAGGAAGGTCCATCTCAAGGCCAACATACTCGAGTAGTTTGAACCCATCCATGTCAGGCATGTGGACATCACTTATAACAATATCGAATCCATTTCTGTTCTCTCGTAGCAGTGACAATGCAATTTCTGCTCGATTGCACTTGGTAACTGAAAAGAACCCCAGAAGAATCGAATCAATTATCCAACAATCACATAACTACAACTATAAAGTCTGTAAATTAAACATATCCACTTAGAAAAAGGAAATCTGAACTACCTATCCATACAGGCACACGTCAAAACAATACCTTTCTCCCTGATTACAAATAAAAAACCCAATTCACCCACAAATCAATTGAAACAACTTTGCAAGTATCAGAATTTGCAACCACAAGATTGCAATCTGAACAAGTTAACATAGCATCTTGTGGAATCTGGGCAAAATTATAGCAATCTGAACAAAACCTTATCTCAAAGTGCATACGATGTCCTATTACACCCAAATCTCAAAGGTTTTTCTTTCTCTCTCTCTTCCACCGCAGACTACTGAATACTGATCCCATTAGCAAATCTTAGAAATGGAACAGAGGCACAAAAGAAACAATAACCTATATGGGTACTTACCAGTACCATCTATCTAGAAACTCAAGGGTAAGTATAAAGATTCGAATTTTCAGATCAAAACTCAAATTAAGAACAGAAATTCAAGAAAACCTGAAAACAGACGATTCCTGACAAAATTCAGTACTCACCTTCATAGAGGCAGTTCCGAAGCATCTTCTCTAAGATCAAGAGACAAGTGGGGTCATCATCTACTAGAAGCACACGGAGACCGACCGGAAACTGGTCGGAGACTCCATCACCAGACTTGCAAGAAACACTTGAGCTCGGCATCGACATCGATTCCACCGCTTGACCACAACCCAGATTCATTTATTCAATCGTCAACCTCAAACGGACACATAGATATGTGTAAAATACGCATATATCACAGACCCAGAAATAGAATATCTTAATTACATCACTTTGCTTTAACATGCAAAGAACCATAAACCCATCTCAAACTAAATAGAAAAAACCCCCCACACGACAGATGACCCAAAGTTTGAGAGGGAGAATTTGACCTTGAGAGAGAAGAAGAGGAAGAAAATTGTTTATATTGAAGACATAGATGTGCGCTTGAAGAAGCTATTTCTGGACCTCTTGTGGGTCACTCCATTGAGTGTAGATCCAGCTCATAGAAGAGCCTAACAAACCCCACGGCAGCCACACACACACACACACACACACACATATATTTTTCATTATTATATCTATTGCAATAGCCAAAAGAATTTGCAGTTTTACGTTGAATTTTTCAACATATTCACTGAAGTTCTAAAATAGGTTTTTTTTTTTTTGTCTTTGAACAGTCGATATGGATTTGAATTACCAAAACAATTACATTGATACCAACAAGAATTGTAGTAAATATTTTGCTCAAATTTGCCCTTATAGGTTGTTTTCAATAAAGCAGGAGGCAACTCAGATTTTCTCTTGCCTTAATTATCTCTGGTTTTTTCAAAGTAATCCCAGGCTTAGCTAACTACTCTAAGCTATCTTGAAATGTTTGACTACTTACTTAAAATATTAGTACTACTATTGCTAAAATATATTGAAAAAATGGTGATGCAATAATTTCTTTTTTTTTTTTTACGCAAAACGGTATTATGCCTTTAGTATGCAATAATATTTTTTCAAGAAAATAAAATTAATGTAATAATGGAATCTTGAAAAATCCTTACACTCCGGCTTAGACCCTCCCTAGTCTAGACTTGGATCAAAGCCCGACCTTGGGATGATAGTGGTGGAGGTGGGATGATAGTGGTGGAGGTGGTGATAACGACAAGTGATGGTAGTTAAGAATAAAAAAATACTATCAAAAATTGAGGAGTGAGAAATTTTATGTTGATGGAATTATGTATTCCATAAGAATATGAATGAATTTTCATTATTACATACCAAATATTAGATGAACATTACTGAGTAAAGATCATTCAATTTGCATACTTCATTATTTGATATTATTTAATTCAAATTATCATTTTGCCTTCTTAAGGAATGTGAAAATTAGACATCAATCAAATGATGAAATTCATTAATGATTGCCTTAGACAGCAATGCCTTCACGGTTTCATTGACTTGTTGGCACTCGTGGCAAGAGTCATATAATACTTGAGTGATTAATAACACAAATTATATCAGAGCCCTCCCATTTATACAAGTTATGCATAATATACTCGTGGGCACAAATTGAAGGTTAGGAGCGAGGCCATGAGAGATTAGTTCAGGATGAATGATCATTCTTTGATCGGATTAGAGAAGAAATTAATTAAGATACACTTAAGTTATTCTGGACATCCCTAATCGTTAAACTAAAAAAGAAGTATGGGTCATATTTTCAATGCTTGGAGTTTAGTTTCTAGGGTCTAGAATCCAGAGTTTTTAGAACATAAGTCTAGACTTTTGGATATAAGAAATTACGAGTCTAAGATTGGAGTCCTGAGTTTGGAGCCTTAGATGTGTCTGTGATTTAAATACAGAGTTTCGAATTTTAAATTTTAAATTCAATTTTGATTTTTAAAAATATCATTTTGTTTGAATTTTTAAATGCATTTCAAATTTCATTCAAACAATTAATTGTAGTGATTGCCAAATATCAAAATTTGATCATTTTATGTTAGTGATATCAAACCTTTGCATGGGTCAAACATTTGGACCACTGATTTGCATCTCTTATTTGACACCAAATACATGATTGTGTCAAGTACTCTGCAATTGTGTATAGTTGTGTACCAATATAATTATGTGCTGCCAAATCAAACCAAACCAAACCGAGGTACGCCAAAGGCAATTTAGTACATGAAAGACAAAGTCCAAGTCTTGCCACAGAATTGTGGATAATCTCACTAGTCAGTACCATTAGGCATTGGCTTTCCACTTTAAAAATGGGTTCAACCTATGTTAGGTCCACAAAATTAGGTTTGGTCCCGAGAGATATTTCAGGCTCGGTCAAAGTTCTTATGATCTCACAGGTGAAGGCCTATTTGGATAGTCGTTGGACACTCTTTCTTACCTCCACCCTTTTTTTTTCAACAAAAAAAAAAAAAGTCAAATGTTCATCTTGATTAATTTTGACCAAATTACCCATTTTATCGTCTATGAAATGTAGAGTATGATCGGAAATGAGAGAATGAACTTACATATTAGTGTAATTATAATTTATCATCTTAATTTTATCACAAGTACACAAGCCAAGGGTATATTCCATTGAATCATTTCTCTCACCCAACGACATACTATCCCAATTATATAACAATCAAAGCTTAAAGTTATCTTTGATATCCCCGGCTTTTTTTTGTTTTTTACCTTTTTACTTAGTTTAATAATAATATTTGTTTTCAGCTTTTAAGAAAATGATTAATTATTGATAATATTTTATCTTGGTTTAGCTTCTTATGAAGGGGTAGATGCTTTTAAGAAAAAACACGAATCTTTAAAACTACACAATAACCTAATGTTCAAGGTGGGTTTCAGTAGTCGAGGTCATGACATGTGGCATCTCTATCTAATTTGAAGAAAAATAGTCCATCCAACTATTCTCGTTCAACTCCTAGGGGTTAGGGGTAGCGTAGTTATCTAATAAATATTTTTTGAATGATAACTTAGGCGTTCAAATATTTCACGAAATATAGTTTTTTAGGATCATTATCTATAAATTTATCTCGTTGGATAGAAACTAGAGAAATAGTTTTTTAAAAGATCGTCGACTATTGACTATTGAATGTCACACTTTCTCAATACAAGCTAAGATATATTCCTGAGCATTTGTAAATATATGCATGAAAAAATTATTATAAATTAATATTACGTCACTTTGCACTATGAATAAATAATATTTAATGAATTTATATTGTATTTAGTCGAGTTTTTATGTTGAATTAGTTTTATAAATTTATGAACATTTTAATTTTAAAAATATTGGGCCCCTACTAACGAAAAGGTCACTGAGTCAGTGACAGTCACAGACCCCACTAGGGCCACTGCCAATGGGTCCACATCAGCGACTACAAGGGCAACAGTTGTGACTTGTTGGACGATCTGACTGAGACTCGGACGGACACGTGTTGATGTCCTTATTCTTGTGTGGGCTCCACTAAAACCTAATTTGTTACGTAATAAGTGGACCAAACGCAAGAGAGGGCCTTGGACTGGGGCCCAATCCCAACCCCATCAAAAATTGTGGGCCCCAAATTGTTACGTACGTGGGCCTGTTATACATACACATCTTTGTCATTCAATAAGGAAAAAGTTGGCTTTTCTTTTGGGAAGCCTATACTATATGCACTCATAAATGTCTTTATTAGTGTAAGTGTCTATTGGCGGTTTAAATTTCCTCCAATTCTTTTTTTTAACCAAATAGATGTGAACTGTCAAATTGGTGGGCCTCACTCACTATCATCCAACCGCTCATATCCATTTGGTGGAATAACATTGCTCTTCTTCTTTTAGTTATACTTAATTGGATAATCATTCACTATGAACTAGTGATTACACACATGCTTATCCGTCTTTTCAATTTATAATGAGATTAGAGAAATAGTGAGAGATAAGTAAAAGTTATAAGAGAGAAATTATAAAGAGTTGAATGTAGTTATGGATGGATAGTTGAAATAAGAAGCGAGGAGGGATATTATAGATATGTTAAATGTGGGTATCAAATTCCCCGCTCCTCCCTTTATTACTATTCAATTTAATTGTATAGAAGAGTGAGAGCCCAATTTTATGAATCTCACATGATTTTACGATCAGTAAAGACGTGTTAGTACTTTAGTTAAAATTTTTGGGTTAAATATTGTGTCCTTTAACTTATCTGTTAGAGATGCTCTAATGTTCTTGTTTTCATTTACTAACTTTACTTCAATTGAACAAATATTGGTACTCATAATTGAAGAGACTCTGAAAATTAATGGTATTTGATGGGGTGAACTTCAACTCGATGTATCTGGTCTGAGTGCTTGTACGCAAGGCAATCTCTTGTGATAATAGATAACTATGATGGGTGGGTTGATTTCTTATGTTTCCTAAACCACATATAGGAGAAACTAAAAAGGTAACCATTATAGGATGTGAGATATATGATCAACATGTGGCAGTGGAACTTTGCTCCCTAATGCCCGACCCTTCCTTGACTGATGACTTTTCCATGTGGAATTATTTACTTGAAGTTGTCAAGTACACACAGGAAAAAGAATATCCCCTGGCATCAATTTGGATGGACCTTGGGTAGCAGGTAGGGAAGTTGGGGTGCCAAATGATTTAATAATACGACACCAACATAATAAGTTAGGTGATTTAAGTTTTTTTTTTAAACAATTCATTTAGTAAACGAGTAGATTTTAACTGACACGATTTATAAATAAATTGTGTATGAGTAAAATAAATCAAAATAAATATATGACACAATTCATTTATACACTAATTTTACGTGATTCATATACGACATGAACTCAATATGACACGATTTGTTAGACACGAATTGATAAATCGAATATGAATAAAATATTTTTTAACACGAACTTGTCTCACTCGACACTAGTGCCAAACCTATAGTGAAATATAACTGATGATGTACAAATTGGTTTGCACATCACCTGTCAAGTAAGCAGTACCAAAATATAGTAAATAAGTAGAGGGAGAAAGAATACAAAGTTATAGTGATTTGGTCAACGTGATCTACGTCCACTTTGAATGACAAAGATTACCGAGTATTTTATTAACTCAAGTGTGTAGGGATTGACAAAGGTGAGGATTGACTTCTNGTTACCGAGTATTTTATTAACTCAAATGTGTAGGGATTGACAAAGGTGAGGATTGACTTCTTCCAAGGTGGTGAGGAGGAGGCTCTTGGGATAGCCCTTACTCCAAGGTGGGTAGGAGAAGGCTCTTGGATGACCCTTACTCTAAAGTGGTTAAGAGGAGACTCTTGGATGACTTTTATTTCAAGGTGATTAGGAGGAGGCTCTTGGATGACCCTTTGTGCTCCCTGTTAATATAGCTCCTTGAGCTTAATGAACTTGATCAGATTGACCACATTGAGCTGAACTTACTGGATCTTTTGGAGGTGGACTATAAACTCGAATCGGACTTATAATTTGAGCAAGCCC